CTATTTTTGGATGATAAACATTTGTATCAGGTCAACAAAACATGGGCATATAAACAATATTTTTATACTACATTTATCCATTTTAAATGTACTAACTTCACTCCTTTGTAACAACTAGGGAAAAAATGTAATTAATTCAGAAAGTCTTTTCAGGACCCCACCTTGATGTTTCGCGACCCCACTTTGGCTCCCGACCCCAACTTTGGGAAACACTGATCTAGAAGACCCATACTAAATCAGCTCCTGAAGTCTTTAAACACCTGCTTCTTGCCCTGCCACACATAGACAGCTGGTTAGGTCTAACCAGCTGCAAAATCTTTCATACTGACACTAGAGAATTTTGTCCTGGTGGAAATGTTTCAGTGGCAGGAATGYCAAGGTGCAAATCCCGAAGAACGCCTTACATATTGTGATTTTTGCACATGACAGACAAAAAGTCATTTTTGATGTTCCCGTGTAATACAAGTTTTATAAGACAGGGTTGACACTTGTTATTCTTTGAATCTAAAGAGGCTGCGTGGGCACTATTTACCAATGTAATTAGGGTTTTGTGAATTGATCAAATCTAGTTATTATGTAAATACATAGTAGAAGAGCTGTTTCCAGATAACTTTTTTGCCACTTTTAACTTGCTTTATAAGAGAATAGTTCAGATGTAGGGGTGAGGTGATGCAGAGGTGATACAGTTTAAGCACTAGAGCTTCTTGTTGAGAGGTGTGAACGGATGCCAGGGAGGTGGACAAAGATGGGGAGAGGAAAGAGGGAGGGGCAAAGAGAGGATGGAGTCACATGACCGTGCTTCACTGCAGTATTTCATCTGTTAGCAACTCTCTGCATTTCTCTCCCTTTCTCACTATAGCCACAGGACTGCTGAGTCAGCTGGAGTCCATTCCAAACTGTTTCTCATGCTTTATGTGTCTGGACACAACTGATTGTGAGAAAGGCACATATGTCTGTGGTGCCTCGATGTGTCTGAGACAGAAGTGACAGTGACAGAGGCGTTGGCTTAAATGCATCGCTGGGAGCTGTGTGTACTGATAGGTTAGTTTGCAGGGGATGACATTGACATAGTGAAGCTAGAGGGGGTGAGCTAACTGCTGACAATGCAGGCCTTGAGGAAGGGTGTGTGTACACGTCGGTGTGGGAGAGAAAAGTCTGAAGCAGGTGATGTTCTGCACTTTGCTGGACTGTATAGGAAACATTTTAAGGGTGGGAGTAAACTATGTATAAATGTATATTTTAAGTAGGTGTCGATGTGGAAAGTACAAGTGTGTGTGTCCGTGTTTTACTGTGTGTGTGTGTGTGGTGCAGTGATGTAGGCCTGTGGAGTGGTGCAGCAGCAGTGGGAAGGGAGCCAGAAACACTCGACTGCAGAGGAGAGATTGGTGCAGAGTTCCATTACACACACACACACACACCCACACACACATCAGTACTGAGGGAGGATGCAGTCTGAGGTGGGTGAGGGAGAGAGAATGGTAGGGGGTGGGGTGGGGTGTAGCCTAGGCTGAAAGAAAAAAAAGTTTCCAGGACAGAGGAAACCCATGAAACCCTAACATTTATTTACTTTGATTGCCGAGGACATGGTGAGTGGCTTGGAAACGTTTGGCCACAGTGTTAATTAGTTGAAATACTTGACAAACTTAAGATTACCTAACATCTAAAGAACATGATTGCTGTTATTGTAAAAAAAAAAAAAAAAGGCAATGTCTTTCTAATTAACAAAGGATGAAATAACCCAAAGTAAAAGTTTGGTTACACTGCATATAATTTTCATTAACGGTTTATCAATAAATTTCCTAATGCGTATGTTTTGTTTAGGGGGCTGTCATCGATTCTTGGTGCGAGGTTGTAACGTAAAATGTCTTTTCAAGTTATAGTTGGTTCATAACATACAAAATAATGTGAATTCTTGCTTCCCTCTGTACCATAAAAAAATTACAATTGTTTCCTACAATTGAACTTTCGATCAAAGATTTGCCTTGTGTCAGTGGTTTCCAAACTGTTCTATTTTTTTTCCAGGTTGTTCAAGCATGGATGTACTGGTGGCCAGTCAGATTAATGCACTTAATGGAACAACTGTCACAATCTCCTGCACATTTACTTCKTGCTATAAGATTGACCTCACAAAGTTTGGCATGAACTGGACTTACCAGGAAACCCACAACGACACAGAAGAGAAGGTATCTTGGCTGTTATTAATATGACTTAATACACCAAACGATCAGTTCAAAAAACCAAGACAGTTGTAAACCCCTTCTATTTTTTTTTTACATAGTTTATGCATTACAATCGAAAAAGAATGCAGGCACTGCCTTCGAACCGATTTGGGGACAGAGTTGTGTTTTCTGGAAACCTGGAAAAGAATGACTTGTCCATCACCATATCAGATGTTCAGCTGGAGGATGAGGGGATATACCACTGCTATGTGAAAAACCCCCCAGACCGTATCCAAGGAAATGGCATCATTCGGTTCAATGTTGTCACAGAATGTAAGATGTTAGCACTTCTCTCTGCAAATACAAAACAGAATAATCTAAGTTATAGTCTTGTTTTCAAGATTTTTACTTTGTTCTTGTTTGACTTTGAGATATAACCCAAGAACTCAGGAATGATTTCTTTGAATACCATTTTGATTTTGTGAGATGATCTCTGTAAAGAAAACAAATGTGATTTTTTATTTTCTCTGTAATTTGCTAACTTTACAAAAAAAAGATGCAGGACTAAATTTTTAGGACTCTGAACTTGTTGATAAGAGTGACATGTGACTTCCAGAGTTTAAAGTTGTAAATTTGTAATATTTATTATTATTATTATTATTATTATTATTATTATTATTATTATTATTATTATTATTATTATTATTATTATTATTATTATTATTATTATTATTATTATTATTATTGTTATTGTTATTTTTTTAATTTGCATGAGAAATTCAAGTCGACTGAAACTTACTTTTTCTGTGTGCATGAGTAATTTAAAAATGTTGACATATATTTTTTAGCCTTTTTAAGATGTGCTTGTATTTTTACATCATCACAAACAAATTATCGGTTGCAGCAGTATGTATATGTGATTCTGAGATGAGTCAGCTTTTTCTTTTATTGATTACCAGCAAGAGGTTGAACTTGGTCTTTAGTAGTTTTCTTGCTCTCTTATACATTTACATTAACTCAGAAACACATACGAGGCTTGCTCAGCAGCACTTTCCTTTCCTTTCCTTCCTCTCTGTTTAATCAAGCCCAGCAGAGCTTTTAGCCAGCACTGCACTTGTCTCCATGCTTTGTCTACAATATAATTAACCCTCTCCTCTCCGCTATTCAGTACCCCCTCCGAGAGATTCAACCATTGCTGTTGCGATCGGGGCATCAGTGGGTGGAGCGTTGGCCTTACTCATCCTCTCCATGGTGGTGGTGAAATGTCTTCGCCGACACCGGAAACAAGAACTGATTTCAGAGGAAAAGATGGAGGAGGAGGGGAAACTGGAGCCTGAAGCTGTTGCAGAGGAGGGAACTAAGTAAGAAATCTCTGCGTAAAACTCTAAATGTTCACCTAAACTAAGCTAAACTAGCTCCAGTATCGAAAGAGAGCTAACAGAAGGCAAATTTTGTTTGATTTGCAGTGGTTTTATATTTGTATGCAGCATCTGTCCTGGAATCTGCAAATCTGCAAACAGCAAATCCAAATAGCATTTTTATCATTCAATCCCATACTGACTATTTTAACACTGACTGTAACTTGAGAAACTGCATTTTCTGCAAAAAAAATGCATTGTTAATGTGCTGAATGTTGTGATACATAAATGACTAAAGTATCACTAAAGTATGCAGAAGTAGTTAGACTGCAAAAACAGAACAGAATCAAAACAGGAAAACAATAGTATAAAAACTGCATTCTTACAATTAGCTCTTTAAGCCAGAGTTAATAATCTACTTGCAATGTAATTGTAATAGTAATTGTAATTTTCGTTGTCATGGCTGAGCATTGACATACAGCTCTCAAACTACATGTTCTTTTGCACATTTCAGTCGAACAACAGGTCAACTAATTTTACTGAAATAAGGACATTGTTTTCATGAATCCCCAGAAAACAAACTTTGTAAGAATTGACAATCAGAATAACAAAGCCTCATGTATTTAAACACAATATTTTGTAAATCTAGAATACAGATCATGGCACTGACAGTTTTGTTTGCGTTAGTACATAACTAGTATATTGTCCTTAAGAATTAATTTAAAAATYRTTTTGTTTTGTTCTGTTCAATGGTATTTCACATTTTTTAATGAAATCTCATTTACATGTGCAGGTTTACAGCTGCAATAAAAAAAGTGCAGAAGCCATTTACCTTACACAATTTTAAACCTAACTTGTTACTTTGCTATGTTTTTATTTTTTCCTTCTTCTTCTTTCTTTTAGACTTCCATAGTGGTTATTTGAACCAGTGTCTATGGAGCTACCATTTATATCACCTCACATGGTAAACAACTTTGTCTGTTTATTATAATAGTTCATTCTGTGTTGCAGAAGCTTTCTTTCAGGTTTCTAAAGTGAATTTGAAGCTGACATTTTGAAATGTASCTTCATAACAAATGTGTAAAAGGGTTGTTCTAACTAACTCATTTGAAGGTAATAACAATTTAGTAAAATGCTGAAATCCAGCGCCTGCAAATTATACATCAGTTATGAATACAGCAAATAGCAAACGTTCTGCCATGAGCTTGTACGCAGCATCAGTTGTTGGAGTCAGTGCAAAGACAAGAGGTTGTCCTCTTTTTAATGCAAATTCGGCAATGACAACAAAGTTTTGAATGTCTTGCTTAGTATAAATCAAGCTGTTGTCTTGGTGTTCACTTTCCTTTTTTTTCCCTGCCTTGTTTAATCATTAACCATACAGTAAGTAGAACATTTAAATAAAAAAAAGTTCAACTATTTATTAAAAACACTATTTACTTATTGTCACTACACATTTAAATATTTGTAGTGAAAATAATGAAGTTTTTCATTTTCTCTTCTCTTTCAGACATCTGCAACCAATACCTGGAGGGACTGTAGTAGCCACTGCTTGATTCATTGCCTACAAATATCTATTATTTCATTTAGATTCAAATGTTTGCATGTGTGTTTGGGGACTGTGTGTGTGTGTGTGTGTGTG